CATCCATCTTCCTCCGCTTATCGGGGGTCGGGTCAGCAGCTTAAGAAGGGAGGCCCAGACTTCCCTCTCCCCAGCCACTTCTTCCAGCTCTTCAGGAGGAACCCCAAGGCGTTCCCAGGCCAGCCGAGAAACATAGTCTCTCCAGCGTGTCCTGGGTCTTCCCCGGTGCCTCTCCCCGGTGGGACGTGCCCGGAACACCTCACCAGGGAGGCGTCCAGGAGGCATCCTAACCAGATGCCCGAGCCACCTCAATTGGCTCCTCTCAACGTGGAGGAGCAGCGGCTCTCCCGGATGACCGAGCTTCTCACCCTATCTCTAAGGGAGAGCCCAGCCACCCTACGGGGGAAACCCATTTCGGCCGCTTGTATCCGGGATCTCGTTCTTTCGGTCAGTTCATGACCATAGATGAGGGTAGGAACGTAGATCGACCGGTAAATCGAGAGCTTCGCTTTTTGACTCAGCTCTCTCTTCACCACGACGGACCGGTACAGCGCCCGCTCCACGGCAGACGCTGCACCAATCCGTCATTTTAACCTTTGTATAAAATTGTAATCGTTTGTCTGTCGCTCAAACAGTCAAAGGTAAAAAGTGTTTAACATCCCTGCAGCTCTGACAGGGAAATTGTTTTGTTCCAATGTACAGGACCTAAGGTTCAAAGGACAGTCTTCCCTTTAGGAGGAATGTTTTGTTATTTTTCTAATCTAAAAACATTTTTATAGTTCACCTCAAAGTGCTATGAACAAATGTAAAAAAAAAGTGCTCACTTAGGAGCAAAATGCATGATAAAGTGCCATTTCCGGGGCCAAAACTCACTCTAAAGTGCCCTCTTGGTATTCATACGCACAGTAAGCATCCTCTTTATGAGCCAAAAGGCACACTGAAGTGCCTTCTCGGAAACCAAAATCGTACTAAAGTGCTCTCACAGCAGCCCAAACCTGTGCTATAGTGCCCTCTTGGGAGCAAAAAACATGTGCTTAAATGGCCCCTCTGGAGCGAAAATATGCTAAAGCGCTCTCTTAGATGCCAAAATGTACACTAAAGTGCCCTCTACAGTGGTGAGGACGCACTATATGAACCTTTTTTTTTTCTTTCCTTTTTGCTCCTTCCCTTCAAAACGTCTGTGCACACCAATGGTGAAGGTGTCATGTGGTTTACACAACTGCCACACTTTTAAGAATGTCTCACAGTGCAAGAACAACTACCCCTTTTTTAATATACATACATATAGTTTCCTTTGAGCCTTACTGCAAGCAGTGGCTTAGTTTGTTTGCTTCATTGGGCCTGACAGGGTTGATAGTTATTAAAAGTTGCAATGAGCTTTTCGGCTGTTCCTTTGATTAATGCTATTACTAAGACTTTAGACTTAGACTAGACCATTGACAGTGGGATTAAAGAAAGATAGAGTATATCTACTAATTTATGACATCTTAAAAAAACTATAATTTATGCAGCAGTTTATCTAAACATATTACACTGCAATGATGAACTACTTTGTGGTGGTCAGACTTGTAATTTGGTTGAGGTGACTTCCATCCTCAAAAAAAAAAAATAGAAGGTATTTCACGTATGTTTTGATTTGCGTTAGTCTAACATATACAATTTCAATGAAATGTAAGGAGGAATATGGTTGTAACTTGAAGTGTGACAAATTGCTGAAATATAAAGGATCCTGACTGACCTGTTTATAACATGCTCTTTTCAGCCTCTGGCTCCTCCTTGTGATCAGAATGGAGAAGGTGCTAAGAACATGAAGATACAAAATATTCAAAATTTTAAAGATTTGGGCTTGTATAATTATTTTATCCCTTGTTGTTTTCCCAAATACAGCAATATGCACAACAGACTTTTAGGGTTGCTGTAATTAAACGTTTAGCTAAGAAACATTTACTTGATCCAAATAACTAATTCAGTTTTAGACCATCTAATTTTCCTTTCGTATTTAAAATTCTTAAGGAATTTGTTGCTATTCAGGTTTGTGAGCAATTACAATATAATTACTTTTTTGAAGAGTTTAATTCAGGTCTTAGAGCTCATCATAGCACTGAAACATCTGGTGAAAATCACTAATGACATCTTGATGGCCTCAGAAAATTGACATATCTGTTAAGTACAGGTGTAAGTACTTGCACATCTCAGTGCTGCATTTTATACTGTTGATCACACTTTTTAAAAGAACCTTTGAGTTTGAGTTCCTCAAGCTCTCTTGAGTACCAAAGACATCAGTTCTAAAACCAATGTATATATTCTCCAAACTGGTGGACAATATGGGAATAGTTTCCACTGATATGCTGATGATGCACAGCCATAGTTCATAAATCCTGATTAAACTAACCCAGTTACAAAGACTTAAGGCATGTCTTTGTGGCACCCCCGAGAAGTGTGATCATCTAAAAAAAAAACATAAAACAAAAGAGACTGCGGTGATGGTAAGCAGAGCTTTAAAAATTTTAATCAATACATTTAAAAAACAAGTTCACTAAAAAAATAAAAATGCAGGGCGATCAAGAGCAGCAGAGTCAATGGACCAGTCTGTTAAAAGATGCGCTCTTAGCTGGCACGATGGTGGGCGCGGTCCACCCCAGCGCGCGATCCTCCTTCCGGTGGGCTGCAAGGTCCTCTTTTCAGCACGCTGCGCGCGTGGGCCTCTCCAGCTTTGCTGGCATCAGCGAGGTCACCTCCAACACGCGCCTCTCGCCAGTGTGCCACTATGACTTGCTCCAACTTGCCGCTCTCTAATGCGCGCCTCTCTCTATGCGCGCCTCTGCGCCTGACTCCAATGGGCCTCCGCGCCTCGCTCCAGTGCGCCTGCAGCAACCAGTCTCTAAACCTCTCCTGCTGCTTCTCCCTCACACGCTCTGTTTGGCTCCCTTCATGTCCGGCTTCGGCTTCCCATGTCCGGTCTCTGTCGCTCTCCAACCAAACAGCTGCCTTTTTTTTTTATCAGCCTCCCAGTCTGCATGCTGTTTGGCTGATTAGGAACACCTGTGCCGCTGCTGTGGACGTTTCCAGGTGTGAGTGGTAATGTGACCTCCAAACAAAATCAGAAAAACAAATGCAACACACAAAAATGAAACTAACAAGCAAGTAAGTTCAAATTAAAGCAAATCCAAAATTAGAAAAAGACATGCAATTAACTTGACAAAAAGGCCACATTACCACATCTTGAAGTCACAATAATCTCTAAGACCCTTAACTTTCTGCTTCTGAATGCATACAAAACAGAAGGTATCATCTTTGAATCAGAGTCTCTAAAAATAAGGTTTAGTAAGTCACTTCATATGGATGGGATTAAATTTATCTCAGATAATAACTTCAAACCACAGATGTTAATTTGAATCAGGGCTTATTTTAATCCCCATATCAAAGAGGTTTCTGAAAATTTCCTTTTTTCCGTTCCTGAATATTGCAAAAATATTTGTTAAACACATTCAGCTGATCCAAAATGCTGCAGCCAGAGTTCTGATGAAAAGTAAAAAAGAGGTATCATATTTCTATTCTAATGCTCACATATAGAGCCCTGAATTACCAAGCCCTCATCTTATTGGCTTAAATGTAAAACTTTAGCGTATAGGCTCAGGTTATCCATCTTAGTTGTCTCTATAGTTATCCTGCTAGAGGCGGGTACTGGAGGACAGAGAAGGCCCTTTTCATCATTCTGCTTCAATCTATCTCTATTCTTCCATTCGGCAGAATGTTTTAGTTAAACCCCTAACTTTCCATCCCCCTAACCATCCTTGATGAATCTCCTGTTGGGTTTAGATCATAAACACCTTCAATTACAGATGATACAGTTTGGTCTGTTTTTCAGTGATCTCTTCTAGACATAGCTATAGGCCCAGCCTTTATTGTGACTAACTTTATGTACTCTCTCTCATCCCTTTTCGCATGAAAACTGGTCAAGAACCCATCTGCCAAACTGTTTATGAGACAGAGACAACTATGGAGCAAGTTTATTATTATTATTATCTTTTCCTTACATATAAAGTATTTATAGGTCAGCTTTTCTATGATAATTTTGTATGCCGGCTTCAACAAATCATCAGCAAAATTTTGAGCTTATTTTTATTGACCAATTAGAGTGCTTTCTGAAAACAGTTGGAAAAAACTGAAGCTACATCTATATCTGTTGTTGATAAATCAGCTGTTGGAATGTGTAAATTGAGAACAACACCAAAGATCAACCAGAGGATTAATTGAAGAACAAAGTTACACTAAAAGTTAAACAGAGAAATAAAGGTCGGCGTAAACAGAGTTGTTGAAATGTAAACATAAAAAAAAAAAACTAACTTTACGTAAAGAAGCACTACAACAAAAAAACAAATGGCAATACATCAAGTTTTGAAACTGTCATGAACTTGGCACTGATGGCTGGATTTGGCTCTTTTCCCAAATATGCAAATATATATATATATATATATATATATATATATATATATATATATATATATATATATATATATATATATATATATATATGTGACGGGTGCAGATTTACTTCCAGCTATTATTTAATTCAAATTAAAAATAGAGAACAGATAAGCAGATCATGGCTTGTCTACAGTGAAAAGAAGGACTGTGTTATCTACTTTTCCCTTCGCCTTTTAAGAAACATATGAGCAATCAGCTAAGTGAGCTTAGTGCTTGGGGGAAAAAAAAATCTTTAATTCCTTTTGAGACAGCATGAAAAGTACAAAACATAGGGAGGAAAACAACAAGAAAAGGGACAAGAAGAGAGGGACAAAACGTACAACAAATAATGTATGTCGATTCTGTTACACTGCATCTGCATAATGGGTCTGTTTTTTGTGTTGTCTTCTCAATTCAGAGGGCCCCTTGCCTGTCTTTGTCTAGGGCTTCAAATTTCCTAAATCCGCCCCTGGTACAGTCATGGACACGCCTGGTAGTCACGTCAGTGATGTTAGAATCATCTCAACGAACATACCTGTTGGTCTGGTCTTAATTATAACGTTTCTTTTATTGCAACAACATATCGTTGACAGAACCTGTTGAGCATTTTGCGCAAAGAGCCAGCTCTGACCACCAGCACTTTCTACAGATGACAGCGATCATAGGTGTTCCTGTGGCTTGCGGTGCGTCCTCCAGGTGAGAGCTGCTGCAATTTCTCTATGTCAAAGTGACAAGAGTCTCTGTCTGGCCCAGGACGGAAGGGAAAATGTAGGTTCTGTATTATCCTGTTTCTACTTGAAGCAGCAAGCCTTATCTATAGCAGCTTTATGCATCAGCAACGCAGCCATTAAAGCCTCTGTTGCTACAGGTAAGTAATCTGATCGTTGACATATGTTGAGTGTAAGTTAGTCATAAGTCGTGGCGTGTAGTTTATCCAAAACCTTTAAGTAAAATGTGCGTAACTTATGCGTAATGCAACGCATCAACGTGTTTGACGCCTTCCAGACGAGCGCTGAACGTGTTTCTAACTTCCAGCTACTGTATAATTGCGTAATGGTAGCGTTTTGGTATCAAAGAAGCTTCATAGGAGGAAACTGTCAGATATCTTCCAGGTTAATATCCCGATTGAATACATTTTTCAATGCAGACCGGGCGCCTCCAGGCGCATCGGAGCAGAGATGCGCCTGGATAGGAAGCTTTATCCGACGTTTTGTTTCCTGGGCATTACGCTGCTGTGCGTTATGCATAAGTTAGGCTGCCTTTGGAGATAGGTTTTGAACTTGATATAAATTAACAGACATCCAAAGTCTCCCGGAAATTCTGGGAGTCTCCCTGATTTAGATAGTTCTGCACGGATGCCCGTGCGTCAAATAAATTATCCCGCATTTTAGACTGTGCGAGCCGAGGCAATACAATAATTCGTGCAGAATGGGCGGATTGGAACTACTTTGATTGCACAGGCACAACAAGAGAAAGCGGGTGTGTGGAGGATTGCTTGTGAAAACTGTGCGTATCTAGATGCTCTGTTCAACCAGCGTTCCAGGCGACTGGCTGTCAGAAAGCGCGCTGATTGGATTAGTAGAAAAAAAAGGCAAAAGGTTTCGGCTTAGTCTTTTACAGTCACCTAGTTACCCCTCAAAGCTGTACATCCTGCGAAATAGCTTGAATCCTCCAGTAAAAAAAGAAAGAAAACAAAAAACAAAAAACAAAACAAAAACAAACAAACAAACAAAAAACAAAACAAAACCGGGGGGTTCGATAAGCAACACCTGAAATTAGTTTTTGGAATTTGGGGTGTCTGTGTATATACTATTTATACGCGCAAAATTGAAAAAAATACATCTAAATGTCAGCGTATGCCAGAGTTATAGGATATTCTGGGACGTCGGGCATATGCTGGATAAATCAGCAAGGTGTGACAGGGCCAGAAGAAGGAATGACAGGTGGGGGGGTGCTTCCTGCAGAGGGTAATTGGAAAAAAAGTAAAAACAGGAAAGGACTTAATCTAACTTAAGAATAAAGCAGTTTATCTTTGAAAACATTTTTGTGTGAAAATAAATAAATAATAATAATTAATTTCAATTCAATTCAGTTTATTTATATAGCGCCAAATTCACAACACATGTCATCTCAAGGCACTTTACAGTTCAACCAGATCATACAGTCAAATTGATACAAAGTTTTCTATCTAAGGAAAACCAGTTGATTGCATTGACTCATTGACTCAAATACAATCCCCCACACTAAGCATGCTTGTAGCGACAGTGGAGAGGAAAAACTCCCTTTTAACAGGAAGAAACCTCCAGCAGAACCAGGCTCAGTGTGAGCGGCCATCTGCCGAGGCCGACTGGGGTTCAAGGAGACAGAAACAGAGATACAAAAAGCAGCTGTAAAAGGCGGCCCCGTCCAGGAAACACACAGCCAGGCAGACGAGCTCCAAGGCAGCTCCCATGCCAGAGGACGAAGAAAGCACATCCACTCAGTTACGGTCAGAGAAACAGGACCACACTGGAAAACAGGCCGATCTCGGACATCTATAAACAAGGGTGTTGATAGAAGCAGCACAGCTGATGTTTCTTTCCAGGATGACGTCACAGCCAAACAGGAATTAATGAGCTGATTCATGGATCCCCTCTACCCCTGGATAACTTTCCTGGATGTGGTATTTGTTCGATCATAATTTTGATCACTCTGTTCAAATCTAAGAGGAATTTTTCTCAGAAAGTGTGATAAAGAAAAAAGCATGTCTAAGTATTAATAGAATATAGTCCACTCATTTTTAATAAAATCATTAATATAATCTCAAAATAAAGAGGAAATGTTCATCATCTTTGTCTCAGGCCTACCTTCTTGGCCATAGCTGTCTGAACAGCTAAATGGCCTTAAGTACATGTTTTCCAATTCATAAAAAAATGTCACCCACAGCCAGTAGGTGCTTCTTCCAAAGTCTCAAAAGTCTGTTTTCTGATTTTTTTCCCACAACACAGCATTAAGGTGATGGGAGAGCCTCCTTCAGACTGGAATCTGTTGCATCCTTCATTTTTTAGACATGAAACAATCAAGGGTGTATTTAGAATTTAAGACGATCCATATTTAAAAACAAAGCTGATCCTTAATTAGTTATGGATGAATCTTACTGTGTTCTTAGCTAGTAATGTAAGACCCTTTACTTTAAAGGTTACCTTGACTTATTTCAACGACATACATTAGCATAGGCAGTATTTTAAATCAAAATACACCTGGATGAAAAAAAATACATATTTAGACTATCTGTGTATCATGACCAAATATTGTTTCAGTTCATTCTAGATTTATAATATGAACATTTTCTAAATTCATTTAGGAGCAAATTAGTGGGTTAATTAAGAGTTGAACTTAGAGGTTTCACAGATGTTGGACTAAAAGACTCCGCTAGTGAAGGAGGAGCTCAAAGAAGAACCGAAGGGAGGGGGTGAGGGGGAGAGAAGACAGGGAAGCTTTCTTTGTAATCAATGCTTCAATCTTTATTTTTATTAAGTAAAAAAAACTCAACTCTCTCCCTTCATTTGTTTTCGTGACCTTGACTAATACGAGAAGTGTAATAGAAGCTCCCAGGACCTGCTGACTCAGTTTACTTTCACATCCAAGTCTTAAAAAAACTTCTTCTTTCAGTGTTACAGTGCTTTATGTGGTGGTTGGACATTATATTGATTATTACATTGATTATGAATTGATTTCATCTCCCTCAGGTAGAAATAATGGCAAACTTCACCAACACGTCTGAAGGAATCTCTGCTGTAAACGAGACCTTTCTGGATTCAGAGTTTCGCTATGTGCTTTTTCCTGTCATGTACAGCATCTTCTTCATTTTGGGCTTCTTCTCTAACCTTTATGTGCTGTTTGTCCTGTGGCGCCTCCGTGAAGCGAGGGCTATGGGAGAAATCTGCATCTACATGACCAACCTGACCATCGCTGATCTGCTTTTTGTGTCTGCACTCCCCTTCTGGATTAGCTATTACCGACGTGAGGGGGACTGGATCTTCAATGACTTCATGTGCAGGATGACAGGATCGTTTTTTTTCATCAACACCTATGGAACCATCCTCTTCCTTGGAGCGATCAGCCTTAACCGGTACTGGGCGGTCACTCGCCCTCTTGATGCAGCTTCGTCAGACCACAGGTGCCGCGGGATCATCGTGTGTACCCTAATATGGGCCTCCACCATTTCCACGGCCATCCTCTACATGATATCGACAACTAAAACTAAAGACAAAACTAAAAATAAAACTCGATGCTTTGAGGGATACCAAAATAAAAATGATGAGGAAAAAAGGAAAGTTGCAGCATTTAATTTCTTACTTATTGGGATGTTTTTTCTTGTTTTTCTTCTTGTTGTGATATGCAACTTCCTCATTGCCCGAGCCTTGATTTACCAAAGTGCACCACAGTCAGAGTTGTACTCTGAGACAATCAGGTCCAACAGAACAACGGCGTCTTCATGGAAAAGGGCTACAAAGGCCAGAGGATTGAAGAAGAAGGCTTTGCAAATGCTCCTAGCAGTGGTGGGAGTGTTTGTGTTATGCTTTCTGCCTCACCACATAGTCCAGGGCCCCTGGACCCTGGCTGTGCTGCAGATAACAGAGGGCTGGGGCCATGTGACATGGGGTCAGGACACACGGCAAGCACTAAACGATGCACATCAGATCACCTGGGTTCTAATGGGCCTCAACTGCATCCTGGATCCTGTGGTGTATTTTTTTGCCACAAGGAAGTTCAGGAGTTTCATCATGGAGCACATCAGAAAGTTATCAAAGGGTGAAACTATCTCCTATACAGCCAACACACGGATATCCATGAACAGCAGAAACCATAGTAGAAAACTCCAAATAACCCAACAGCAGCTGAACAAGGATGAGAACGAGGCCTCTTGTCTTTGACACAGCTAGGAGCTATAGAGTCACATTGTTTCATTTGTAACTTATTAGAAAGTTAAACACTGTCATTTTATATCTTTGTGTTATTTTACAAGTTGTTGTACAAAGGTTTTTACTTTACTTCACATTACAATTCCTTACACCTGTTAAATGCGCGCAACTTAAATGTATGACTGCTGTCTAAAAGCATTTAAGTAAGCTGTAATTAAATACCTGTCATCAGGTTTAGCAGGAAAATGCACATTGAAGGCTGCAAGTTGTTGTTTAGTGTTTACTTTTACTTCTGATTGTTAAATAGTGCACTCTGGTCAGAAAATTAAATCTTCTATTTTTTTCTCTTACATATATTCATTTATGAGTGCCGAGTCTGCATTTACTTAGTTTATAGGAATATGCACTCAGGCCTCACAGCTGCAAGGTTATATTATGTCTGAGGGAGAGGAGTTGTTATTTATCCTATCAGGAAGTGGTTGGGATAAAAAATAATTTTTCTTATAACAAGCTAGACTCGTTCTCTGTGTGTATGCATAACATTTTATTTTTTTCCCTAGACTGAAATTATTTTTGCTTACCTGTATGTGGAGACCTTCTCTGCCTTTCTGCAGGGTTTATGTTAGTGAGAGGAGCTTTTGTCCAATCAGATCAGGCAGAACATTCGGCTGTTAGGGCTGCTTTGATTATCTTGTTCTCTCTTTGCAAAGAACGTCCCTAACAGTATCCTGATGCGTGAGTGTTGGTTGTTCTCCACAGATGGCAGTTGTTCATATCCACTTAATTTTTTTGTTGTTGGCCAAAACAGTTAATGGGTTGCGAAGCACTGTACTTGTGTAGGGCTTCCTTTAAAGATTCTTACCCTTCTGCCATTGTATGTGAAAGTGCTGCAGCTGCAGGGCATCCTGCTCCACTCTGAGTTTTTAGAGCAGTCAGACTCGGCTTTAAATGGGAAAAAGTAAACCAGAGGGATGTTATTTGGTGATTACTACCCTCGTCTTGACTGCCTTCTCCTTATCTAATCACCTTACTTTATTTCTTATGTAATCATCTTAAGTTTTCTATGGATCTATTGTGTGTAAATGAGTTAAAATATGTTCTCTCTTATTTTTTTATTTATTAAATTTTTTAATTTATTACAACTGCTAATAAACTATATAAACAGAGTTTGTCAGTATATAAAATTAAAAAAAGAACATATGATCAGTCTGTACATGTTGTCTTTTACTTGTGAACTTCAGCAGTTTCCTTTTCAACAACTCACTTCCTGCCTGAACGGTGGCTCTGCTTCCCCCTGATTGACATTGAGTAAGTGGAAAAAATTGATATCTATGCATTTGGTAGGAACACGGCTTTGACTGACCAGAGTTGCTGCAATCAGCTGCGAAACCACAGCGAAGCCACTGTACGGCTTCTCTGCACCACTTCCACATTCATTGGATCAGGAAGACAAAGATTGCAAAGCACTTCACAGCATATTCACTCACCAATGCTGAGAAGCCACATTGATGCTGCTTGTTTTAAACTCATGTACTCTAATGTGAATTAATTTTACCTCATGTAAACATATTATCATACTTATTTATTGAATGGTTTTGTATTCTTAACTAGAGGATATGCTGTGTTTTATAACCCATTGGGGAGGGGGCACAGTACCAGGCCCAAGTGGAGATTTTATGGCTGACTGTTTTATACACTGAGAAGACCTCATATTTAGATCTTTGTATCAAATAAAGCACCACAGGGCCTGCTGACAACCAAGGGGTCTCAAATGTCTATCCATCATGACTAAGATAGACTAAGGAGAATAGGCTAGAAACAGCAATTACAGGACAAAATTCTTCCTCTTCAATTACCATCACCCCAGAACAGCTGGATTAACATCAATCAGAAAAAAATCAGGTTTGCGGGTGATTTAACAAGAGTGATTGCGTAACTGGTGGCAGGTGCAAAACTGTTGGAGACGCCCTATTTAAATGATGGTTTTGCGCGTTTTGTGGTTTGCGGCAAAGTAGTTTGCAGTTTGTGCAAACTGGTGCATTAAGAAATTTAAATCTTACAGTGACACCCCGACCCCCTCCAATATATATATCTATATCTTTATATATATATATATATAGATATATATAAACTTTGGCAACCTCTATTCCCTAAGGTGGTATGTGGCTGAATTTCTACTTCACTGCAGTAAAAAAAAAAACAAAAAAAAAAAAAACAGGTGTTTTGTATTGGCCTGTAGAAAAATGCACATACCAAATGGCTCACAAGAAGTGACTGTGGATGACTGCGCGTACGCATCCCCGCAGCATTGGCATGTTGCTCCACAGGCGCAGGGGGGAGGTCGGGGTTCTCCGGTAGGGCGTCAGGGCGACATGGCATTTAGAACGTTGGACAGCACTTCTGAAAACCGAGATTGGGAGATCCCAGCTCTCGCTGCAACCGTACGCTGGAATGACCCAAATGCAAAAAAGTGCAATGTTGCAAGGAGTTTTGTGATATCTGGTATTGCGTGGGTCCTACTTGTGGCTGGCTCCAAATCCATTCGGAGTTCCCCCAACAGCTCCAAAATGGCAATGCTGGATAAACGATATGTTTTGATGATCATTTCCTCGTTCATTCCAAAAATATTCACACGGAGGGAAAAAATGCGCGCTTTGCGTCTCTTTGCTTCATTTCGATGTCTCCTTCTTGCGACAATAACCGCTGCCATGTGTGCGCAATTACGCATACAGACCATTTGCACCTTCTTTTGAAACATGTTAAATATAGAGTCAGATACCGTTAGCAAAATTGCTTTCAGGTTTGATAAATAACTTTGCGAGTGCTAAATTAATATATTTACATGTTCTCCTCCCACAAGACGCACTTTTGTGTGTAAACGCCCCATATAGCATATTCATTGCAGAAAAAGTACTAAATGGATAAGAAGCGCTATTTAGCACGTTTTACAGATCAAATCCTTTTAGCACGCTGTTGATAGATCAGATTTGTTTTTTAGTGTGCGCAGTGAAATAGCTCACGTTTTTATACACGCAAACCTTTGATAGATCCGGCCCAGAGTCTTTTGAAAACAGTTGCTGGCACAAACTTATTAAGGAGCATCAGAGTTAACGGGCTGCAGCTAATGCATTTATCAATAGCCAGCCAACAACTAATTTTGTAAGACACTAAATAAGTCAAATGCTATTTAAAAGAGTGCAAACTACATCACCCAAAGAATATTTAGCTGCTGCTTCCATCGAAGGATCAGAACAGTGAATTGTGTCATATTTCTGTTTTTCCTGTGCAAAGCAAAAGCAGAAGTTTAATAAACCGAAGACTATAAAAAAGTGAACTTTTTGAAAATGTTATTTCTTATAACCACTTCTCTGATCAACACAATTTTTCTTTGTAATGTTGAGGCTTGTGAAGGACAAATACCAAAAACCAAATGAGGATGACTTTAGATCTTTGGCAAACTGTTTAAGCAGATAAAGATAAAACAATAAAAATAATGAATAACTTACTGAATAAGTTATGTGGTAAAGAGAATCGTGAGAACAGAACTGAGTCTTCTTCTCCTTTTGATATTTCAACATATTTTTCACAAATTTCTTCTGTTTGAAATCTGTTGAAAAATATAACTGTGTCTAAAGACAAATTGATTTTATGCAAATTTTAAAAGACATTTTTGCATATTAGAGGAATTAAACCTGTCAAAACAAACCTAGTAACCAGTTGTACCAACCTAGTCACGGTATCATCATCATCATCCATTTTAAGTAACTTGTAATGGTTGTTTAATGGGTGGATAAATTTTGGATCACTCTTCCTTGCATAATTGCTTTAATTCAGCCACACTTAAGGGCTTTTATACAGGTATGGCCTGTTTTTATTTCAGGTTTTGACTGTGCCACTAAAAAACATCAAGAGGTGAACTTGCTGTTGCGCTATTGATGATTGTCCTGCTCTATAACCTAGTTGAACTGGAACATATGATCACAAACTGATGCCACAGTTTGATGCAATATATTTAGAGTGGATATGCCATGCAGTTTATAGTCTTTGGCTCAAAATACAACAGCAATGTGCAAAAATAACCTGTAGTGAAACAGCAAACAAAGATGGCTTCTCCTCCGAGTAATGAGCTAACGTTACATAAAGCTGGACTTTATTTATCAATTGAATGCTATATTTGTGATATTCAAACATACAATCAGATTGAAACGGAATTCTGTGTTAAAAAAGACACTGAAGATGCACTGTGACAAATTGAACATATATGAGGCTTGACTAACTAGTTTATCACAGAGCTCTTTCAAGTCTCTGGCTCCCCCCAGTGATCAGAATGAGCATGTGCTGATGTGCCTCTATGAGTGGGACATTTTATTTCCTCAAAGTAAAGGATGGAACATTGGAATAGTATATAAAAAGTGCTGATAAAGTCTGACTATAGGCCTTTTTTTGTCTTTTAGTGCCCACCACAACAAACATGATAAACAAAAACATCAATAATAAACACTTTCCTACAGATGAAGATGAACCCTGCACATATTGCAGGGTAAGTTATATAAATTGTTTACCATTTCTGATCACATAACTTAATTCTCTACTACATTTGTCATTTCCAATATATAGACAGAATGAAGGATGAAAAAGAGCGCTGATAAAATGTTGGATGCAAAGATTTCAGTTTATTTTTATTATAGTTACACTTTCCACTGGTACCCTGAATGCAAGTGGAAAACCCCAAACAAATGTAATTTTCTTCTGAGATAAATGACTCACTCCCTGCCTGCTCTTCACCTACAAAAGGGTCATCTTTTTCATGTCTTCCTGTTTTGATGCATCCGCCCCCAATGTCTGCTTTCACACATTAAGATCACATTTAAAGCCTCTTGTGTAATGTGGAAGTCAAAAGTAGAGTCAGTGAAATGGCAGCTCAGGTGCCTTTTTAATAGTAGCTTCAACCATGCGGTTTTAGATACCTCCAAGACCCCATAATGACGAAGCACAAAGACAAATTCTGTAAAATTTAACCTGTTTTGTTATTTGATTCACCTACACCTATGTGATTACGCTGAAGCTACCTCAATGTCTGTTGTTCAAATCAGCTATAGGAAAAGAAAAATGGCACAAAATAATAGCAAGGGCATTGAAAGACCAAAATCATGCCAAAAGTTGCATAAGAAATGGAAGTGTAAACACATCCTATGAAATGGAAAAAAGGGAAAACATAAAATACAATTTTTTAAAAAAGCAAGAAGAAAAGGAGTTATGTGAAGAAGAACCTCTCCAACACCTACCACTTAAAAACATTTTCCAAAAAAAAAAAAAAAAAATCTTGAACTGTGAGTGACAAACTCAAAAAGTCATTCATTAGGCCTACATTGTAAAATGTAATCAATTAGTAATTACACTGAGCTAAATTAAAAGTTTAGTGGGTGTGAGAGTTATAGAAAAGAATCGTTTTCCCACCGATCTTTTGGGATGATATTTCATTTCTATCTGTATTATATCTTAAGATTAACAATCAATAACATGTTTTTGTTTTAAGTGTATGATTTGCATATGGATTGCAATGCTTTAGAAGATATCTTATCACAGTTGTTCTGTTCATTTTCTTAGAGGAAGAAATACGTAACTTCTTGAGAAGCAGGAATGAAAAGCTAGATAATTATTTCCAGGATTGCAACACCCCGGGCGTCTTTATAGTTTATGGAGGCCTAGAGCTACAAAGTGATATGAAAGTTATAAAATGACACGCGTCTTGCCTCAGACAGGAGTTTCCTCCTCTAAAGCCTACACAGCGCGTTTACGCACTCAGACACACCCCGGACTCAGCCGTGGAAAGGATCACTCAGTCATCCCGAGACAAGCTGAACGGTTAGTTTACTTTCTTTTACTCTGTATCAGTTTCAAATTGGTAGCTTAAGGATTAAGGTCACGCTAAGTCAATAGGTTTTCATTGAACAAATAAATTACTGTTACTTTTACGCAAAATTACGCAATAGTAAGACGCGTTAAAGTAGAGCAATGAAAGCTGTGACAAGAGAGCTAAGCAAAATGAATAATTTCTTGTGGTTATCTATGGAGGAGTTTAGCATTTTGGTTACAATTTCTCAAAAATGAATAACGATGTAATCAAGTTAGGTTTTTTATGGGTTTTTAGTGGCATGCTGCAAAGTTTACTGTTTCTGTCCACCAAATCAACCAAATAATTTTCTGATCTTAGAGACTAAGTAAACGGACTTTTTAAAATTGAATATGGCCAATTTATAATGCATGGATTCATATGGACCATATGCATATGGTCAGGGGAAGTTTAGTAATATAGCAAACTTCAGGAACAGTTCAAAGTGCACTGCAGCAGCATAATAAAGCCAGAAAAAAAGTTGGACTGCTTAAAATACAAAGCAAGAAAAAACAAAAACAAACAATGAGAACAAAGTAAAAAAAAAAAGTGTGGCTTATGAAGAATCATTTTAGGTACGATTTAGTTATTAATGTAAGTAAAACCATCATAGTTTGACTTTTGTTTATAAGTCTGAATTCTAGTGAGACTTAAATCATTTCACACCTCTTTTTTGGTCATCTATGACAGTGGTAATAATAGGACTGATGATCCCCTTTACAAATTAGCAAACTGTCTAAGACTGAATGTATTTTTATTCATATATATATCTAGAAATTAGAAAAGGAATTTTCTATTTTCTGATTTGTAGAGAAGATCATTCAATAATATGTTTCCCTTAAATTTCCATGTAAAAGAACTCGGCGTATTATGATCTGTGCAAACTTGTCAAAACATGTCCAGGAATAAAAGTGCATGAAAGGAATGCTGCATCACTGTCGGCTATTGGTTTTTGGATGATGTGGACTTCCGCCACAATTTTCTGAAAGGTTGATATAATCAGGGCACGAAAATTGTTTTGCAAATAAACGTGCCTTTCCTACAACAACAAGAAAGCTGCAAGGTATTTCAGAGCTAAGCCATTAAATGATTAAGGAGCATTTCAAGTGCATTCGATACATATAATGAGCCAATGGATGGACTTTAGAACTGGGCTGATGTCTCCCACTTTCTAAGCAGGAGTGAGAAGGTGGGCTGCAGCATTTGGCTTATCTGTTGCTGTCTGATCAAGGTTTTAGGCTGACCTGTTGTTCTAATCAATTTGCCTACAGAGAAAAGGATGGATGATTCTTAAAAAAAAAAAACCCTCTGCAACATTTATCCTTGAACCATAAAAACAAAGTCAGTCTTAGAAGTCCTACTTTGTTTCTTTATCTGCCTATGAAGCATAAACCAGAAACAGTGATTCATATATAAGTTTAAGGGTCAATTCCCACATAGGCCAGTCATATTATTACTACCCTCGTAGACAACCAAAAAAAGAGGTATGAAATTATTAAACTCTCACTAGAAATGAGATTAATAAAAAAAAAAAAGTCAAATCTATGATGGTTTTACTTACATTTATAACTAAATCGTACCTAAAATAATTCTTCATAAGCCACACATTTAGTCCTAGACGAACCAGTGAAAGGCTTCTTTAGTCGTACCAGGCTTTCTCTATATTTGATGTTTCCTGATTAAGCATTAGAACTCATCAAACTTTATTAGGAGTCCAAACCTTTGTAACAGTGAATGAACTTTGAAAACCTACGAATATCTTATAAATTAGTATTTATATTTATATTTATCTGGCTATCCTATTTTCAACTACAATAGAAGACTGGACGAAGAGGTCTGATTTACACTTGGGATTTTAAATATTTATACTGTTACATTATGAGGTAGATATGATAGAAACCACAAACTCATCACAAGCAATGTATTAGTGCATTACCGACCTTAGGCACACTTTTTTCTCCTTTCTCTTGATGACTAAACTAACCACACTGCGAGGCCTGTTTTCAACCATCCTTCTGCCTGAGTTAACACTTTTACACGTTTTTCTTTTACATTAATCGACTGTAAAGCAACCACAGAAAAAGCATTTTTAGAGATTTTGGAGTTTGAAAAAGGTTCTTATCTGAATTGGCCACACGGGTCATTTAAGGCAACTTTATTTTTTTATTAGTGGACTTTGCCCAACAAAGTCTTTTTTTATTTAATGCACCAAGAATATGAGGCTACTGCGAATTAATTAAACAGGAAACCCTAAAAGAAATTTTTTGTGTTTCTGTTTTTTCTGCATTTTCAACTGAAACGGAAATCAGTGTATATAATCTTTAGCATCTTTGGTCCTTAGAATTGGTAAGGCTCATATTGCGCTAATAGGAAATGAGGTTAGTAATTCTTGATCAGATCAGGAAACCATGCAACTAGTAGCAGGCACTTACTAGGCCTGTTGGGAGAAGGAACATTATAGAGTTCAATCTGAAAAACACACACAAAGAGACAATTAGGAGAAATGTATTGATACAATTACTTTGTCTCTGGCTCTCAAACCTCGGCAGGAAACATAGCAATTAATTTTCCCCCCAGGCCTGAAACTGGTGGTGGAGTGGAGATAGATGAAGTTGGTCAGTCTGTAGACTGCTGTTAGCGAGACGGTATGCTGAGCTTTATGGGGAGATCCAGTGGCCTGTCAGTGAGCTGATACTAGAGCTTCACTCAGGGACCTGGAAGATGGAAGTCATGTTGGATAACAAAGGTTGAGAGAACCTGTCCATGATGAGCAAGCATGAAGCGACAGTGGAGAGGAAAAACTCCCCATTGGGAAAAAACCTCTGGCAGAACCAGGCTCAACTGGCGGTCTTCTGCCGGACCGGTTAAGATGAGACAGAGAACGCTGTAATAGTCTGGGAGGAATGACACTCTGATAAAGCTTTAGCTACGAAGGTGGAGGAGGGGCTGCTGGAGGTGGGTTGAAACGGTGTCATCCGATTGAAGTCACAGCGCATCCACCGCCTACGCACAGGAGCAGACAAGTGCGTATCGGAGGCCTTTTAAGATAAACTTTGGATGCCGATTGGCTTTCATGGAGCTGTGGTTCAAAGCTGATTGGCTGTGTCGCAGGTGGATGTAGGAAAGGAATGAGTTTCTTCAATTGAACTTCCGCCTAGGCTCCATTTTGCAATCTGTAAATATTGAAGATATGTTCATGGAAATGTCACAAGCACCTATAATTAAGAAATATTTGAAATTCACCATGACAAACGTGATTTTCCTCTGCAATAAATATGCATTCAGGAAAGCTTAGGAGAATTTTTTATTTATCATTTGCATTTTGGTGCATTGGAATGGCGGTATAAGTCAATTTCTCAAAAATAACAAAGGCAAAATAATAAAATCATGAACCAGATACAGACATGAATTAAGTAATTAAGTAATAAGTAGGTGTAAAAACAAAAATGTCTGAAATAGCATAGCAACTGGAGGTAGAAGGGAACTGAGAAACAACTTCTGCCTAGGCTCCATTTTAACAACAGCTGGAGGGGGGCTCTGCGGAAGCGGTCCTTTGTGTTTCTAGGAAGCTTTTCACTAAAGGACAACTTAAGCTATGTAACAGCTTCATGCAAGGGTTGTAAGAAATTAAAGGGCAGTAATTTTTGTTTCCTTACAGATGCTACTGCAGTCAAACAAGGTCTTCAAGAGAACTCCAGAAACACTGATTTTGTTAACAAAACAAACCGTTTCAAACCTTTTCTAATTTGCTCTTTATTTTAGTAATTCAAAGTTTTTTTTCTTATAGAAAACATACATGAATGATTACCTTGTCACAATAACCCCTTGTTTTCATAAAAATAGCTGCATAAATTACAATAGCTGCATAAATTAAATGGTTTTTGTTTTTTTAGCAAAAGAAAAACAGGCTTGCAGCGAGCAAGATGAGCATAAGGAAACTTGGGATAGACTTGCAACCTGTCAAGCTTGCTTTAAGCCTTTATCCCCTAAACTGCAAGGCAAGGCTCCCTGGGACCCTGGCAAACACCTATAGAAGTTGGATGATGTTTTGTTTTTTGTTCAATATGAAATGATAGCGAACTAACATATTCTGCTTCAAGATCAATTATACCTGCAACCTGTTTTAAGGTATAATTGTTTTGACATTTAAATTATACATTTCCTGTGGTTCCTTTCCAGTAAACTAATAATTGTAAAAAAAAAAAAAATAGTCAAAGTGTTAACTCAGGCAGGAAAGTGTTAGAAAATGGGCCTCATGGTGTGGGTAGTTTAGTCATCAAGAGAAAGGAGAAAAAAGTGTGCCTACTGTCAGTAAAGCACTAATGCACTAATGCATTGCTTTTAATGAGTTTGTGCTTTCTAGAAATCTCATATTCCTCATGATGTAACAGTATAAACATTTCAGTCCCAAGTGTAAATTAGACCTCCTCATCCAGTCTTTTATTGTAGTTGAAAAAAGGAAAGACATCTATCAGCAGAACAAAAGATGGACTTCTGTTCTGGTGATAGATGTGATTATAATTTTAAATTCTAGGAGGAGCATTTGTAAGGCTATCCAAAACAACAACAACAACGTTCTTTCCAAGTTTGAGGATGTTTCGCTTCCCATCCAGGAACCTTTTTCAATTAAATTTGTTTTTTGAAAAATCTTCCTGGATGGGAAGCGAAACGTCTCCAAGCTTGGAAACAGTGTCCAGTATTTTTTTAAAACTTTTTTGGAATGACTTTGATATGCATGACTGAGAATCTTCACCAGAATTTGCAAGGCTAAAAAAAGGGAAGGGGAAAACTGTTAAGGCTGGACCACACTGACACGATTTCATTGTCGATGGATCAGCTTTGTGGCTTGTTTAAGCTGGGTTAATTTTAGGGACATAGTGAATCCTAAATCTCGCAGTCATTGATCTGTAGAGGGATTCTCTACACAGCTAATTATACTGGAAAGGTAGACAATTAGAAATGAGAACACCTTACTTGGAAGGTTCTGATCTTGTTTTGCACTTCTATAAACCTGCCTTGAATGATCCTATTTTGCTGAAGCTTCTAGACTTTGTTTATTTGCTTGCCACACGTCCCAAAGCTGTGCTCAGATAAGCTCCTTATAGTGACATCATCAGACGTCAGACAACTGTTCCTAAAACTTTAATAAATTGTTGCTGAGGTGTATTGAATACCAATAGCCCAGATCTTTTTCCATTAGGTGTGAATCCTTTACTAAGCAAGAACTTACTTTGCAAACAGATAAATCTTACCTGGTAAGCCAGATTGATTTAATGTTTAGCACTTAGGTTTAGTTGATAATAATAATTGAATTTTATTGATCTCACATTGGAGAAATTTACCTCTACATTTAACCCATCACATTGGGAAGCAGTGGGCTGCCATCGTGGGGCGCCCGGGGAGCAGTGTGGGGTTAAGGGTCTTGCTCAGGAACCCAGAGTGGGAGTCTGTAGGAGTGGGGCTCAAACTCAGAACCTCAGGATTCCCAGCTCTATGCCCTAACCACTAGGTCACCACTCCCCTTACACATTGTCGGGATCTGCTCCGATCAAATCTGTTCTGGAAAGGCAGGGACATTTACCTTCCCATCTGATAGGGTGAAGCAATGTCTTGTGCCGCCTGCAAAAGTCTGGTTTTAATCAATCACATTAACAAATGGAAATGGACGTTATGAGAAACCTCAAGTAACCCTTGAAACAGATTTGCGTCTCCTCTTTCAAAGATAAAATTGTTGATTCCGACATAGACGTGCTCCTGCGCTGCCATTTTCATTTTGGCTCTGCTTTTGGCTCGGCAGCTCTTGCTTTTGTCTCAACCATATATTTGCCTTAAACCATATCATCGCAATGTGATTGGCCAACCTGTTTTGGGCCGGTCTTAAAAGGTCAAAGTGGAAGAAGGATAAGTTAGATTGCCATGTGTGATGTGAATCTCCAAATACCATGAGAATTCATCTTTTCCCCCAGCTTTTTATTGTCATTACACTTACACAATTACAGAACAACGAAATTTATTCTCTGCATTTAACATATCTCCTTGGGGAACAGAGGGTTGCCATTGTGCAGCAACCGGGGAGCTGCACAATGTTCAAGCTTGAACTCATAACCTCTGGATTCCAAGCACAATGTCCTAACCACTAGGCTGCCACTCCCCTGAAAGGTTATCTTAACCATTCAGGCAAGATAAAGCCTTTTTCATGCTGGAACCTGTAGCTTCCTCCAGTGTAAATACATGAGACAATCAAGAGTTTAGCACAATCCCAAATTAGGTACATACACCTACTGTGGATAGCTTACTGTGTTCTCTGGTAATAAATTAAGACCTTTTACATTAAAGGTTTAACTCCAGTGAGGTGTGTCAGCATCAGCAGGTTTTTCATCACAACACACCAGGATCATAAAATATTCACATTTGGATAATCTCTTGATCATAACCAAATATTGTTTCAGTTTATTCTGGAGTTTGAATGGAGACATTTTCTAAAGTCAATGTGGAAGACAGGGTGGTTTTTGTTTGTAACCTGTCTTTCAGTATTTTTCCATTAATAAAAAAACAAAACAAAAGAGAGTGCTTAAAAGGTATGCATAAGAAAATGAGTGACACAAAAGCTGCTTTGTACACTTGTTTAATGAAAATTATGAGCAACCCCTTAATTAATGAAATAAGTTATCCACAGTTAAACAGTTGTTTGATCTAGGCAAGATGGTTGTAACTCCAGTGTATGGATTTTTATGTGTGGAGATTCTTGTGAAGTGTGCTGGTTTGCTTTTGGACCTCCGGTGTAGGTTACAGATCTGCTTGGGTAGTCAGATCTGCTCCGGGCCCTTCCCCTTCTTATAACGCCCTCATATGGCAACACCACTCAGACAAAATTTCACCCGTTTCTCAAGAATCAGACCTCTTTTATATTCTCAACATATTAATACCTTTATTTTATATTATTTTAAATTTCATTGGGGATATAAAGTAGCCGAAAATAGAAAACAATCATTCTCAGTCTTGAAGGAAATCACTGTGTTCTAAGAAAGGTGACCAGATTTCTGCAATCTAATTGGGACTTTTCCAGCTCATAGATAAATTTAAAAACATATTTTTTTCAACACAATGATAACTATAAAATGAAATGGCCTCCAGTTGTTTATACTGCATCCTGGACAGCTGCAGTGCATTGGGTAGCCTCCAGCCTGTATTAATATCTGTGTCGCCATTAAAAAAGTTACACTATATTGCCAAAAGTATTTGCTCACCTGCCTTGACTCACATATGAGCTTAAGTGACATCCCGTTCCTAATCCATAGGGTTCAATATGACGTCGGTCCACCCTTTGCAGCTAGAACAGCTTCAACTCTTCTGGGAAGGCTGTCCACAAGGTTTAGGAGTGTGTTTATGGGAATTTTTGACCATTCTTCCAGAAGCGCATTTATGAGGTCGCACACTGATGTTGGACGAGAAGGCCTGGCTCTCAGTCTCCGCTCTAATTCATCCCAAAGGTGTTCTATCGGGTTGAGGTCGGGACTCTGTGCAGGCCAGTCAAGTTCATCCACACCAGACTCTGTCATCCATGTCTTTATGGACCTTGCTTTGTGCACTGGTGCACAGTCATGTTGGAAGAGGAAGGGGCCAGCTCCAAACTGTTCCCACAAAGTTGGGAGCATGGAATTGTCCAAAATGTCTTGGTATGCTGAAGCATTCAGAGTTCCTTTCACTGGAACTAAGGGGCCAAGCCCAGCTCCTGAAAAACAACCCCACACCATAATCCCCCCTCCACCAAACTTTACACTTGGCACAATGCAGTCAGACAAGTACCGTTCTCCTGGCAACCGCCAAACCCAGACCCGTCCATCAGATTGCCAGATGGAGAAGCGCGATTCGTCACTCCAGAGAACGCGTCTCCACTGCTCTAGAGTCCAGTGGCGGCGTGCTTTACACCACCGCATCCGACGCTTTGCATTGCACTTGGTGATGTATGGCTTGGATGCAGCTGCTCGACCATGGAAACCCATTCCATGAAGCTCTCTGCGCACTGTTCTTGAGCTAATCTGAAGGCCACATGAAGTTTGGAGGTCTGTAGTGATTGACTCTGCAGAAAGTTGGCGACCTCTTCGCACTATGCGCGTCAGCATCCGCTGACCCCGCTCCGTCAGTTTACGTGGCCTACCACTTCGTGGCTGAGTTGCTGTCGTTCCCAAATACTTCCATTTTCTTATAATACAGCTGACAGTTGACTGTGGAATATTTAGGAGCGAGGAAATTTCACGACTGGATTTGTTGCACAGGTGGCATCCTATCACAGTTCCACGCTGGAATTCACTGAGCTCCTGAGAGCGACCCATTCTTTCACAAATGTTTGTAAAAACAGTCTGCATGCCTAGGTGCTTGAATTTATACACCTGTGGCCATGGAAGTGATTGGAACACCTGATTCCAATAATTTGGATGGGTGAGCAAATACTTTTGGCAATATAGTGTATGTTAGATTTTTATATTCAGATTAAATTACAACCATTAAAACACATCTATAAATCTGGATCATTCTCATGAGCAGCTTGAAGCAGCGACACCAAAAATACATGTTTTGTCATTACACATATCGATAAATGAAAAATAAGCTCTTAGGGCGAGCATAAAAATAATGTGTCCTTTAATAAAGTTATAGTGAAACCTAATAGGAATATATTTTCACAATCCTAAAGCTGATTTTCTATTCATGTGTACATAGATATAGCTGTGCTTTTTTTTTTTTTAAATAAGCTGTTATTATTTTGATAGGATGTAAATGTAAAGATTGTATGATCCTAGTTATCCCTGTTACAAAAATCCACAACAAAAAGAAAATATTTGGGCGTACCATAATACCATAATAACAGTTTACTTGCAACATTTCCCCCTTCATTCATAAAACGGTAAAATTGGGGACATTTCCGGGGAAAAGCTTTAGCCGGGGACAGGTGGTCGAAAACGGGGACTGTTCCCGTAAATCAGGGACGTCTGGTCCCTCTAGTTCTAAGACAGACTGAGCTCTGCCATTTTACTACTTTTGTAGAGATTTTAGATGAAGAGAAAAGTTATTCTACCTGTAGAAAACTAATGGTTGTTGTAGGCACTGAGTACAGCTAGCCTCAGTGCTACCCCTCCCCCTTTATACCTTGCACTTTGTTCACCAAGAACATATTTTTTCATCTTTGTTATCCATCAGGTAACAATTCATTGCTTTCTGATATGTAAAAACACTTTAGCAACTCTCCTCCAAGCTTATACAGAACCTGTTGACCTATTTTACTTTCACATCCTAATCAAAGTCTGTTGAAGTCTTTATGTGGTGGTTGGACATTATATTAATTATTATTTTCATCTCCCTCAGGTAGACATAATGGCAAACTTCACCAACACGTCTGAAGGAATCTCTGCTGTAAACAGGACCTTTCTGGATTCAGAGTTTCGCTATGTGCTTTTTTCTGTCATGTACAGCATCTTCTTCGTTTTGGGCTTCTTCTCTAACCTTTATGTGCTGTTTGTCCTGTGGCGCCTCCGTGAAGCGAGGGCTATGGGAGAAATCCGCATCTACATGACCAACTTGACCATCGCTGATCTGCTTTTTGTGTCTGCACTCCCCTTCTGGATTAGCTATTACCGACATGAGGGGGACTGGATCTTCAATGACTTCATGTGCAGGGTGACAGGATCATTTTTTTTCATCAACACCTATGGAAGCATCCTCTTCCTTGGAGCAATCAGTCTTAACCGGTACTGGGCGGTCACTCGCCCTCTTGACGCAGCCTCTTCAGACCACAGGTGCCGCGGGATCATTGTGTGTACCCTAATATGGGCCTCTATCATATCTATGTCCATGCCCTACTTGACATTTAGAGGTATAAATGAAGACAATACCAAAAACAAAACTCGATGCTTTGAGGGATACCATAATGGAACAAATGATGAAAAAAGGAATATTGCAGTGACGCATTTCTTAATAATTGGGATGTTTTTTATTGTATTTTTTCTTGTTGTGATATGCAACTTCCTCATTGCCCGAGCCTTGATTTACAAAAGTGCACCACAGTCAGAGTTGTACTCTGAGACAATCAAGTCCAACAGATCAACAGCGTCTTCATGTAAAAAGCCCAGAAAGACCAGAGGGGTGAAGAGGAAGGCTTTGCGGATGCTCATAGCAGTGGTGGGGGTGTTTGTGTTATGCTTTGTGCCTCACCACATAGTCCAGGGCCCCTGGACCCTGGCTGTGCTGCAGATAACAGAGGGCTGGGGCCATGTGACATGGGGCCAGAAAACACGGCAGGCACTAAACGATGCACATCAGATCACCTGGGTTCTTATGGGCCTTAACTGCATCCTGGATCCTGTGGTGTATTTTTTTGCCACAAGGAAGTTCAGGAGGTTCATCATGGAGCACATGAGAAAGTTATCAAGGGGTGAGGCCTGCTCCTATACAGCCAACACACAGATATCCATGGACAGCAGAAACCCTAGTCAAAGACTCCACAGTATCCAACAACATCCGAACGAGGAATAACTGAATGATTTCGGACAGAAAAACCCATAAAAACAGACATCCTGTCTTTGACACAAGTCCCACTTTAAGCTCACGGCTCATGGCTCGACTCATGGCTTTTTATTTCTGTGATTTTAATAAGAAGTAAATTATTGGGATTTTATATATTTGTGTTTTGATTTCATGTTTTGCGAGTTTTATGTTTTTTTTACACACCTAGCTTTATTTACCAGATACCACATCAGCTTTTTATTATATGTCTAACCTTGGTAGATCTTGAATGTGATTTTGCATGTACCTATTTTTTTTTTTGGCAGATTTTTAATTTCTTTGTTTTGGTTCTGCCTTTTTATCTTATATTCCATTTTGATACAAAGGTTTTCATATTAAATAATCACTATCCTTGCCTGCATTTTAGTCCACTTTCATAATGATATAATACGCATAATGCATGACTGCTGTCTAAAAGCATTTCAGTGAGCTGTCTTAAAATAGCTGTTAATAAGGTTTTGCAGAAAAATGCACTGGAAGATTGTAAGTTGTTTTTTTTTTTTTTTACAATTTTTTACAATTGTTTACACCAAGCCTCTTTATGAAGATTCCCTAATCTTTTCCATCTTCCAACTTTTGATTCTTTGATCATTTTGATCTTTAAAAAAACTGCATGTAGTAAACTTCCACTGCAATTCCGCCTTGACCAAGATGTTGCCAAAGAATCGTCATTTGTTGTAAGCTGTTTGCTTAGCTAAAATGTACACTTTAAACAAGGGCTTGGCAAAATCAAAGACTAAGTTTGCATTTTTTTTTTATTGCAACGGGAGCTGTATACCTTTTAGGTTATACCTCTACGAGATATCCATATATAAGAACTGAAATTTTATTTGCAAAAGCATTCCTTCTCATTGAGATTGGATTAACTGTCTATAAAATTACATTTTAGTTCTGTTTCCATTGAACTTTGGTGTGGACTTTGACTCAGACTTTCTAACATAGATATAGTGTGATTTACACCAGATGGCTGTTACTATATTCATATGTTTAGGGTCTATCTATTCATATCTATATCTATATATATATATATATATATATATATATATATATATATATATATATATATATATATATATATATATATATATATATATATATATATATATATATATATATATTAGGGGTGGGTATTGGCAAAGAAGTCATGATTCGATTCGATTCACGATTCACATGCCACAATGCGATTCTATCATGATGCATCACGATACTTGAAATATTGCGATGCATCGCGATATTTTCACTGAAAGCTGTAGGAAAAGGATACAGCCCTTACCAGTGGCTAACTGGCTGTGAAATGAAAACATTCAAATTTATATTTCCCCTTTTTCAAATTACGTGCATCATATCAATTTCGTTTTTACCTTTGTTTTTAAAGCCTAAATGCATCCAAGCATCTTACTTGAAATGTGATGGAGCCGCCGGGCGAATTTTCATAGTGTCCGCCATGTTTATTTCATATGACTCGTCTTAGTATCCCACGGCCAGAAATGCTTGTGACACAAGGCAGCGGGCGTCAACACATCCGCAGCGACATCTGCTGGACTGGAAGTTGTTTTCCACTTGGTTTGGCTGATGTGCGCCAACCATACATGTATTTTATTTGTTCATTTTTACAAATTAAGAATCGATACTTGGCGTCAAGAATCAATGCAGTAGATCACAAAAATTTTAATCGCGATGCATCGTCATGACGATTATTTTGCACACTCCTAATATATATATATATATATATATATATATATATATATATATATATATATATATATATATATATATATATATATATATTTAGTTATTTTACTTTTTTTTGTCTATGGCCCGAGGGGAATAGTAAGGCTTAGAGCCACCTCATGAAGGATGTAACAGGTGTTGGCTCCAGCATCATTAAGGCAAACATTTATAATTTTATATTCTATTTCTTTGTCTTGAATCATATTTTTGGTTATTATGAGAATTTGAGTTTGACCATAGTTGGTCATTCTATATCCCCTGTATGTCCTTGTTCAATTGTTTTTTAATATTTTTATCACTATATATCGCATGTCAGCCAATTACGGACTGACCAATGTATCAGATATAATTGTTTTTAAAGTTCCTGATCAATATTGGTATTGGCCTTCTGAATCCATTAATAATTTTTTTTGCCAAAATGGTAAATGGATTATCAAAAAGTGTCATTCTTCCGTTACAATGAATGTGAAAGCAGAGCAGTAGTGCTATCTATTCTACCAGGCACCATATTCTACTGTAAGTGTTTTAGTGCAGATCACCTCTGCCTGGTTGGTATTTATCTATCTTTTTGTTTTGGACATATCCTGGTTAAATGAGCTCAGATATTTTTTTTTTTTTTTTTTTATTATGTTTTAAATTCCAAACTCGTATACATTGTGGTTGTTGGTGAACTATGCGAGCAGAAATTATTACATAAAAGCCCAGGAATTCACATCCAAAGCTTGTAGTGATTCTTTTACTTGTAAATACGATCATATGCGCTTTTCTTCCATCAACTGACTTCCTCTCCAAAGGATCTGTTATGCGCCTGATTAATGTTGGTTTGGTCTGGTTAGCCGCAAATATAGAACAGCTGCATAAATTAAAAAAGCGGTCAGTGCTACCACATCTATACAGTTAGTAACACAACTTTGACTGACCACAGCTGCTTTAATCAGCTGCGAAAGTGCAGCGCAGCCACAGGAGTACCTTCTATAATGTGTTTGCAATTCCTCTTCATGGCTTGTGACAAACTGGAAACAGGAAATCTTAAACACACTTCTAAAAATTGAATTTTTCATGGTATTTTAGTGTAGAGCATGAATAACCTTCCCTCTGTGTCTGCTGTAGACTTAATATAAATATATTGACTGCTTCTCTGGTTAATGTTCTCCTGGACCTACCTCTTACATTTAGCGTACAACTATGTCTTGGTAGGTCTGGAGTTTTGTTGTACTCTTTCCATTTCCTAGCCTTAGTGATCTTCTCCACCACCTGTCTGCACTGCTCTTGATATTTCACATTTTCTCTAACGAACCTCTGAAGCCTTCACAGAAAAACTGGATTTGCATATGAAATAAATTACACAAGAGAAGACTATCTGCAGCACATAGGCTTCTGAAAGCTGTTTGCACTATATTTTATAAAGGAGCATCAGAGAGTTCAAACTTTTCATTAATGTAGTGTTATGCACTGCTCTGTAGTGATCTGTCTTATGAAATCCTGCTAAAATAAAGAAAGGTTGTGTAACATAATAAAATTGGAAAATTCTTCTGCTAATAGTTAGTTTGCCAAGTCACCATGTCAGTAAGAGTCTATGAAAAACAATGTTTAGCTGCTGCTTCCATAAAAGGAGCAGAACCGTGAATTGCTTCATATTTCTGCTCTTCCTGTTTCAAAGTAAAAGGAGAAGTTGTTTTTTTTTTAAACAGAAGGGCATAAAAAAAGTGAACATTTTAAAATGTTATTTTTTAGATAACTATTTCTGTGATCAACAGTATTTTTCTTCATAATCTTGATGCTTATGTGAAAAAAATACCAAAAACCAAGGTGTGGATGATTTTTAGAACATAGGTAAATCTTTTAAGCAGATAAATCCATTTTCTTTTCACTCACTGATTTGTTCTGTTTTCGCTTTTTGTCCCACTTACTTGCTCCAGATTGTCAAACAAATGTATCTCCAAAGATATCTTAATTTAATACAAAAAGCAAATTGTAGGAATAAATCTATCAAAACCAAACTGACTCTAAAACTAGAAACCAGTTTTGCCACCCTTGGTTGCGATATCATCATCATCATCCATTTTTAGTAACTTGTAATGGGTGTTTAACATCACCGTAGAGGAACTTTGGATTACTCTTCCTTACAGCATTGTTTTAATTCAGCCACACTAAAAGGTTTTTGAACATGAATGGCCTGTTTGATTTCAGTCCATGCTTTGACTATGCAACTAGAAAACCTTTCAAAAATGTATTTATTTTTTCTTTTTTTAGAGAGCCATTCATTAGTGAACTTCTGATGTGCTATGGGTGATCGTCCTGCTCCATAACCTTCCTTAAATGGAACTCATGATCACAAACTGATGTTTGGACACTATCAGGATCCAGAATCATTGTTGAATACATTTACTACCATTTATTTAAACTGGAAACTTAAGCTTTAAATTTCAGGCAAGTGAGGCCAGCAGTGCCCAGGTGTTGTTTGAGCATGTGGCATGAGCAGTTATGTAGGTAGACAGCCTCTTCTGGGAAGCTGATCACCACTGATAAGGGTTCAACAGAAATGTTGTTGAGTCTTAACACCTTTGACACATTTTCATTTCCAAACCTACGCACTTTACATTGCTAACTTTGTTTTTTCATTGTCTGACGTGGGCATGATGTGCTGTACTCATACTAAAATACAAAAAATCTAAATAAAATAATAAAACAATATACTTATGTTTTTATATAAGGCCAAACCAGCTTTTTTTTTTAATCTTTAATAAATGAAAGCCCCATTTGGAAACTACCTTCTTTTGTCACTCAAGTTATCTTCTAATCTTTTGTTACGTATATCATCCTGAAATGAAATGGATTGTGTGAAAAAAGCAAAAAAAATGAACAAATTTGAAAGAATTGATTGTTTTTTTTACAACTCTGTTTACATTTACAAGAATACTCAGGGTTTGTTGTAAATACTGTGATCTGTCGCTTTAGCCCTTCTTGAATTCATTAAAATTGTATTCAAATGTTTGTTTAGTGTTATTGTAAATTCAGTACAGAGTGAAAGGGATCTTAAAAAAACATACACATTGCTTAATAAACTTTTCTTTTTACTCTGATATGTTTTTTGTATTCTTTAAGATAAATAGTGCCTTTAAAACATTTCAAACATAACAGATGTCTGTTCATGCAACTAAGACCAAAGCACAAATGTTTTTCTACAACCTGGACAGAAACTGCAGAAAGATTTGTTAAAAAATGTAGATTCAAACTAACTGAAATCATGATATGGGTATATCCCCGCAGTGCTGGAAGGATGTGCATGTCAATCAAAGCAAAATCACTTAAAGGGTGCCAGAACAGGTCATTTCATTATTTATGACAGAGTTGAGTAAAACTCATCCCCTGTCATGTTGGAAGGATCAAGGTTACTGTAGTCTTCCTTAGTGCTTGTGTAGTTCATGTACACATCCGCATCAGAATCATTGTTTGGTGGCAAAATCCTGGAGAAAGCACATTTTTAATTAGTCTGCATACAGGGCACAGTTTACCCATACAGCATGTGGCATAAGTACAGGTAAAAGACTCACTTTGGAATCCCTTCTGGTGGAGCAGGAAGATCTAATAGAAAGTGATCACATTTAAAACTTTCAGATATGATTTAAATTATAATTGCACTCAATAAGAAGTGGATAGCAGCTCTCTTTACCTTTCTTTGGCGCGTTCAAGGCGCTCAATTTGTTAGAAAATCTTTGCCAACACAGCCACACAACACCAGCAATGATGACAATCCAAATTAGAACAGAAAGAGCAAATGCTGCTTTTCCTAAGTTCTCTCCTATAGCAGCAAGATGAGGGAAAAAGCAAATTAGGATGATGGGAGACTTTGATGTTACAACAACAACATATACTATATTGCCAAAAGTATTTGCTCACCCATACAAATTAATGGAATCAGGTGTTCCAATCACTTCTGTGGCAAAATTCAGCACCTAAGCAGGCAGACTGTTGTTACAAAGATTTGTGAAAGAATGGGTTGCCCTCAGGAGTTCAGTGAATTCCAGCATGGAAATGTGATACAATGCTATCTGTGCAACAAATCCAGTCGTGAAATTCCCTCTCTACCAACTAAAAATGGAAGGGCTTGGTAACGACAGCAACTCAGTCCTGAAGTAGTAGGCTACATAAACTGACAGAGCAAGGGTCAGTGGATGCTAAAATGCATAGTGCAAGGGGTCAGCAACATTTTGCCTAGTTAATTACTCCACTCCTCCAAACCCCATGTGGAATTTAGATTAGCTCTAGACCAGAGAGCTTCATAGAATGGGTTTCTATGGTCGAGCAGCTGCATCCAAGTCATATATACCCAGGTGTAATGAAGTGTGCTGGATGCAGAGGTGTAAAGCATTTTGCCACTGGACCTCAGAGCAGAGGAGATACATTCTCTGGAGTGATGAATCACACTTCTTCATCTAAAAATCAGATGTGACCAACCACGACCATGAAGCTGATCCCAGTGGGAAATTTTTCCTCTGCATTTGTCCCTAACTACAGTATGTGGGGCAGTGATAGCCATGCCAGTCCATGGACTAACTGCATTTCTACTGTAAGGTGCCTTGGTCAAGGTCGATGACTGGAGTACCTGACATGTAATAGCCATACCATGCATATTGCTTTAGGTAAATGGATTATATTAATTGGGCTATGCATGCTTCCAAAAACGAAGAGACTGTATGATCTGCTTGAACTGTAAAGTGCCTTGAGATTACATGTGTTGTGAATTTGGCGCTATATAAATAAACTGAATTGAAATTGACTTGAATTGAATTGAAGTGAAAAAAAATCCACCCCCCCCCTTTTTTTTTTTTTTACAACTAGACTACTGGGTAGGATCATGGAGTGGAGTTGCTTTTCATGAGCTGGGCTTGTCCCCTTACTTCCAGTGAAAGGATCTCTGAATGCTTCAGCACCCCGAGATTTTCTGGACAATTAATTTCTCCCAAATTTGTGGGAATGGTTTGGAGCTGGGCCCTTCCTCTTCCAAGACTATTGACCAGAGAACAAAGCAAGGCACCTAAAGACAGGGTCTGGATGAACTTGACAGGTCTGTGCAGAGTCCTGACCTTAACCTGAAAGAATGCCTTTGGGATGAATTAGAGTGGAGAGTGAGAGGCCTTCCTTTCCAACATCAGTGTGTGACCTCACAAATGTGCTTTATGGAATAATGGTGAAAAGTCCCCATAAACATACTCGTAAACGTTTTGGACAACCTTCCCAGAAGAGTTAGAGCTGCTGAAATGGGTGGACAGACAACATATTGAGCTCCTATGACTTAGGACTGGGATGTCACTCATATGTGAGACAGGACAGATGAGCAAATACTCTTGGTAATATAGTTTATATGAAAACAGACAGTAAGTTGACCTGCATGGTTTAGATCTTCAGACCTTTTAGCTGTAACAATCACTAAATATAATTGCAATGAATATTTATGGTGATAAATCTAAATTAAATCAGCTCAAATAATACAATTCAAACACATTTTAATTCAGACTTTAAAAGGATTTTATTTCTCCTCTAAAAACCTGATTTCGATGTTGGAGATAAAAATTTACTTCAATCTATAAAAAACACATTTTTGTTGTCTTGGGGTGAAGCCAATGTCCTGAATATCTATTATGCAATTTTTATGGATGCCCTTGATGGACTGAGCCCATTACAGCCCACTCCCTCTGAGTTGGCTTACAGTTCTCTTATGGCTGCGGTTGTCCCTGTTGATTATAGGCACTAGGTTTTTTGACCATTTAATTTCAAGTCAGTCTTTCTCGAAACATTTAAAGTGGTACAAAGTCCTTGAGACAAAAGTTTTGGAAAAGAACATTAAAAACATAAGACAGCTAAATTGTATGTGCATTTTTTAAGTATGTGCATTAAGTGGGCATGTTGTGGGTGATCTACAAATGTTAAGATGTGCAAAACATCTTTCCGCCTATTAAAAATAACAGATTGCATGTTTTACAGGCAGTTTGACAGTGACTGGTAAGAAAGATGGTGTTCAAAGTCATGATGATGGAGATAAAACTGAACATTATAGAAAAATATTAATAATGATAATACAAAAAAAATATTTGCAAAGCACCATAAAGGCCCCAAAGTGCTATGAATAAAGTAAAATAAAATAAAGCCATGCATGAAGCACAGTTATGCTTTATTAAATCAAGGGTGGAGAAAAATCCCTGTTGCAAAGGGAGGTGCTCGGCTTTTGCTTTCGCCATATCCAAACATTTCAGTAGAGTCAATTTGACAGGACCTTTTTGGTATGACTGCAGCAGAAGGACCATAGAAAATGAGAATGCAAATTACAATTAGTGAAAAAACATCCCAGATATAATTAATAGAAACCGAAGAGAGTTTATTTAGAATTTCTCTCCATTTCATGTCAGAACGTTTTTTTTTTTTTTAGCATCATCATATGTTTGGAACATATGATTCTCCAACCATAGCAATATCTCTTGATGGAGAGAAAGCTTTTAGCTGTATAAAAATTCCTTTTCTCACTGACATAATAAATAGAATGACTTTTCCCTTCACTTCTGTGAATTTGCTAAGATGTTACACAATGATTCTTACAGCTTAAATTACAAGAAATAATTACATCTCTTGTAAAATTATCTTTTAATGCTCCACAAGGCAAGTTTGTAGTCTCTCATCCTTGATGTTTGCATTAGCAGTAGAACCACATTCAATCCAAGTAAACATCCATAATTTAAAAGGCAACAGATCTGTATGGCTACTAATAACATCAGTTGTAGCAGATGATGTCCTGATTTAGTTAACAGAACCCGTGACATCAAGTACTGCATTATTAGAAACATTAGCTGATTATAATTTTATTTCAGGCTATAAAATTAAATTGTTTTCGTGCCACATAACCGATCTGGGACTAAAATATAGAGACATAACTTTTAAGAGTAAACAGAAATTAACAGAAATTAACATACCTTTTTGAAGCAGAGCTTAACAGGTGGATTAACATTTAGTTGTCACTGAAGTCATGGTAACTTACGTCCTACCCCTCATCACACTTTTTAAAAATAAGTTTATTTGTATATGTCTCTGTAGGTGTCTAAATAATCAACATTTGTGGTTGTATATAGACATAAGTGTATGCATATCTTTATAGATGTATGAATGTAGATATGAACCAGTGAAGAACACTCTCTCTACGCTCTTCTAAGGTCCACATTTTTGTGACCATTTTTTTTCTATAAACTTTTTGCTGCTGTAAACACCAGAATTTCCCCACAGTGGGACATTAAAGGTATTACAGTATCTATTCTATTCTATTCTATTCTGGAAAATGAAGGAAGCAAATGGGAATGGAAAACCAGAGGAAAAGCTGTTCAGTTTATAACTTGCTGTGATATATCTTAACATGAGTAAATTTGTATGAAAGACTGATTATGCATAACACTTCAGTTAAGCAAATGTTTGTATTACTACAGACATAACATTTGTGGATTCACAATGTTTGAACTGGTGGAAATTCTGAATAAATATCCAAATAAAGTAAATACAGTGGTTAAGCTTTTTTATAATCTAAATATTGTGTTTGTATTATTGTTGTCAGTGTGATGCTACAGTACTGATAATTCAAGTGTTGGGTTAGTGTGAGCTTATCAACCATTAAACCATAGCATGCAATGCGTAAATTTATAAATTGTTTACATCTGTAATGAATACTTTACCTCGACTTGCTCATGTTAAATGTTACAGTAAAGATAAATGGTTTTTCCATGACAATGTAAATAAATATATTGAAAAAATTGATGCGTGCTTACTGACAATCTGAATTTTTTTTTTAGAAGTTCTTCTAAGTAGCTTTGCATTTTTCCTGTTAAAACAAAAGCATTTTATACTGTATATAAAAGCACCTCTTGACAAAATTTAAGCAAAGTTTTTTTTTTTTTTTTATAAATGATGCTCTTAGGTTAAAGGTCTGATGTGATTTAAGTGCACCACTTCAAACAGTGTGCAACATTTTGGCTGGATTCCTAAACACACCGCCCTGGGTTTAAAAAAGGAAGAAATAAAATAGCCAAAGACTTCCCTAAGGTTGCTCAGTACAGAAAGCATACAGAAGCTCACACGCTGAAGAAAACTACTGTATATTATCTAGAAAACAGCAACAAGGAGAACTACATCTGTGGTTATACTAAACAGCAGGAATTATATTAGATTTTAAAAGTTTAAGAAAGGGCAATTGAAAGAACTTAAAGGAATAGTACACCCAAAACATGATTAGCCTTCATTTTCTACTCACCCCCATGCTGAACAACACTCTGGAGTTCTTTTTTGATATCTCAAATGCATCTGGAGATCTGGGAGGCTTCTTGCTGTCTGCTGACATTCAAATAATGGAGGTCCATAGCGCACGAGAAAGAAAGGTCCATAAAAGTCCACAAAAAACGTGTCAATATTCCTCCATACTGCTCGTCCAATGTATTCCAAGTGTCCTGAGTGGGTAGCATCCAGAATTTACTCGAAACGCAGTCATTTAGAATGTTTTTAGAGCATAAACAGTAGTGTATAGGATTTCCTGAAAGCACGCACATGCGCGTTCACGACGCTACGGAAGCCGGCAGACCAAACCAGATGAAAGTGCGCATTCAGCGTCTGCTCTGCCAATAATGCAAGCGTAGAAGAAGAAATGTGCTGTTTACCCGTGCAAAGAAAGAAACAACAAAAGAAAAAAGTTCTGAGGACCTCAGTGTTGAGGAAGAGCATGAGTTCTTTGCCGAGCTGAATGCGCTGGTTTGGTCTGCCGGCTTGCGTAGCGTCGTGAACGCGCATATGCGCGCTTTCAGGAAATCCTATATACTACTGTTTATGCTCTAAAAACATTCTAAATGACTTCGTTTCGAGTAAATTCTGGATGCTACCCACTCAGGACACTTGGAATACATTGGACGAGCAGTATGGAGGAATATTGACACGTTTTTTGTGGACTTTTATGGACCTTTCTGCCTCGGGCACCATAGACCTCCATTATTTGAATGTCAGCAGACAGCAAGAAGCCTCCCAGATCTCCAGATGCATTTGAGATATCAAACAACTGTAACCTATAAACAACAGATGGACTAAAAGCTTTTTTTTTTCTTTGTTCAAAACTGTTTTACTCTTCTATTTGTTTGAAAGTTTTTCCACCTGAAAATTTTCCTTTTTATTACCGCCTGAAAGCACACGACAGGATAAAGTTAGTTAGGTTATTGCAGGGAAATACCTGAAATAGTTATGTGATCTTATCTCTTTTAAGGGGAAGATTATTGCTGAGAAACTGAACCTAAAAATCAACCAAAAAAGACTAAATAGATAGAAGACATATAAATTTGACCCAAGAAGTTTAACCTTTTTAACCTACGTAAAACTAAACACTAAGTTAATTTAATACATATTTTGAGATACTCCTGTCATTTTCAAAGTTCCTTGTCCTTTACATTCCTGCAGTTAAACGTCATTGAACTGCTTCCAGAACAGCTGTTTGAGTTAAGCTTTGGTGTTACTGTAATCAAAACATGTCCCAACTCGTTTGCACAGACAGAAGAGGTGTTTCTAGAGGATTGTGGTCCGAAAATGTAGATTTCTCTTGTCTCATAATTAGTACTGTCTGAGTGAGAAGTGTTTTGCATACAAGGAAAACTTATCCAATAACAAGCCAAATTCTTTCTCAAGAATTGTTATTGTTTAACCAAAGTTGTTTTGACGCTGACACAACCTTCACTTATTTTCTTTCATTTTGAGTAAGGGAGGCAAACTCTGTCTAAATTAGAACAGGGCAGATTACTGTTGCATAAGGGCCGTATGATGAACTGTTCTCTCTTTGCAAAGATATGAAAATAAAGTGCAGACTGAGTGAAATCCATCGATCTTTGTTTATTTAACTGGGGTAAATAGTTGAATATTTTTTCCCACTAGAATATGCGAAGAGAGCAATTTAGCCTAAATGTGTGAAATATTATTTGCATGTTGGCCTTTACTAATATGCAGAACATGTTCTTATGACCAAACTATGAAAATATATGGGTGGAGGATGTGAAAATGTAACTACTCACCACATGCAAAGTGGTTTTTCAACTTAAGCTCGTTAAGGGATGCAGGTTTTTAATCTATATTTACCGGTACTGCTTTTCACTAAAATCCAGGTGCATTTTTTGCATTAAGTGCAAAAACTTTCTGCAGTCACTGTGGCTTTAAAGGAGGGATTGTTACAATGACAGATGATGGAGAAAGTTTCTGCACATGAAAGCATATATGGAAAGTCAGAAATAACATTAGTAGAATAGTGATGTAGAGAAAAACATCTACATCATTCAAATATCCTGACCCCCGTAGGGGGCGCTGCTTGTATTTGACTATAGACTTCTTTTGGGTTAGGTATGAGTCCTGTGAACTTAATTAGCAGATAGGAGGTTCGTGAGGAGAATCAACAGCAGCATGTCCTTGGGTCATGTGATGGATCATGGAATATATTTAACACCTGTGAAGAGGACACTCGTTTGGGGGGCGCTGTGCGTCTCTAACTTGTATCAAAAGGATTTTTCCCCCCACATTAAGTTATGGGGTAACACTGTTATGGTTGATATTAGATTATTATGGGTGTACCTTGTTTGCAGCATATGGGGTCAAGCATCTGCTATGAGGAGTTGATGGAGGTAAATCTATTCAGAGCAGGAATCTGCAACCTTTAAAATCTAAAGATTGTAGTTAAAGGTTAGGATTTCTTAAGTTTTTACTTCTTCATACCGCTTTTCAGACAATCTACATAAATTGATGTCACTTCTCTGGCTGTATATATCGACAGGTTTATTTGGCAGAGGGTTTTGTTACTATTTATATTCAGGTGAATTTAGTTAGTTTCAATGGTTTGGTTTGATTGATTCCAGAAAATGTTCATATGGGTGGTCAGGCAGGGGCCAATGCAAACTGAGAGGTGGCTAAAAATCTGATAGGCACCAAAAACATTTTATGGTCAATCTATATTGATCACAATAAGCCAAGAAGAAAATGAAAGAAGAATCACTGAAGACAGACCAGATTTTCATTAGAGACCTTCCTGATAATGTGCATATTTATACCTTGGTGCAGTTTCAATGAATGTATAGTTCTACATAATTCATACATTAAATGGATTGAGCAACTCCTTGATGAATGCAGAAACCAACTCTCGCCTATAAAACATAAAAAATAATTCATAAAAGAGCAAACATTCTGTATTAGTCCTCTTTATTGGTAGTATATTGTTGTGAATGATTTTTTGCTGAATTTTTTAAATCGGTTTTGATTAATTAATCAGCGTTAAAAGTAGGAAATTCAACATGATGGTATCACTGCTGCCTCCAACAGGCTTAGTGAGGAACTGCTTGTTCCAGGGGTATTAGTTAAGCAGACAAAGACATTTTCTCTTTTATATTTTGTTATTTTCATCAGTTTTTTTATTTTCATTTGTATCACATTGAGATACTCACGTGAAGTGCACTATAAATAATTTTAAATATTATAAATATTATGACTTTTTCAAATAGTTAGCAAAATTACGCTGCCTGCCAGTTTTCACATCTTATTTTCTTATTTGCAACCATTGCAGATCACCCACAACACACAAACTTTCTGCACGGGCCAACTTTAGAATCTGACTATGCAATTTAGCGCTCCTAAGATCAGGCCCCAAGTGTTACTATAAAATATCTGGCTATAATAAACGTAAGGCATTTAGATGATGGAAAAAACTGACCGATTGTTGGTATGGAGACGATGTACACAGTATGATTCTGGCTCATGCTCTTCACGTTGAAAACATTGTGGGTCTCACACCGGTACTTTCCACTTTGTTTTGGCTCAGTGAGAGTCAGAACCATACCTGAACCCACATTTTCCCAGCTCTGATTTTGAAGGTGGAACCTGGACCAGGTTATGATTTGTGATGAGATGTTTTTGCAGCTCAGTTGGACTGTTTGACCAGCAGCTACTGGGTAGTCGGGTATGGCTTCAAGGTGCAGCACATCCATCATCCATGTTGTTGGAACTATGGTGGAGAGAAACAAATACAGAAGATAGGATGTGTAGAGGATTTTTATGGTATGCTTCACAATAGCTGTGTTTTTTTCTTTTTCTTTTTAAAGCAATTTGATTTGTAACTGTAATATATTTTGTCAAAACCCACCTTGCTGGTTTCTACAGCTTAAAGTATGGTATATTTCATTTTTAGAGAAGCCTATCCTTAAGGATTTTTTATCAGTCCTATTTTGAAAAGATATTTGCAGTATTTTACAAAAAAGTCAAAGCAGCTCTGTGTCTGACCTACACTTCAAACACCAAATTTAGTTGGTTTGTATAGAATGGTCTGTGAAAAATCACCTTGTATAATCTGAAAGCACTAAAGATTTTTGTCTGTTACAGTAGGTTATCAAACTGGTGAAAAAGTCAAGTTCATGCACATTGAGCACATCTAATAGTTTTATAAGTTTACTTCTATCTATCTATCTATCTATCTATCTATCTATCTATCTATCTATCTATCTATCTATCTATCTATCTATCTATCTATCTATCTATCTATCTATCTATCTATCTATCTATCTATCTATCTATCTATCTATCTATCTATCTATCTATCTATCTATCTATCTATCTATCTATCTATCTATCTATCTATCTATCTATCTATCTATCTATCTATCTATCTATCTATCTATCTATCTATCTATCTATCTATCTATCTATCTATCTATCTATCTATCTATCTATCTATCTATCTATCTATCTATCTATCTATCTATCTATCTATCTATCTATCTATCTATCTATCTATCTATCTATCTATCTATCTATCTATCTATCTATCTATCTATCTATCTATCTATCTATCTATCTATCTATCTATCTATCTATCTATCTATCTATCTATCTATCTATCTATCTATCTATCTATCTATCTATCTATCTATCTATCTATCTATCTATCTATCTATCTATCTATCTATCTATCTATCTATCTATGAAACCACAAAGAAGCTATACTATCTATGCCAATAGAGTGGATGTACTTGCATGCAATATGTTTATCAAAACCATGTGGTTGAACTGTAAATAATATAATAATGTGCCTTCTTTAGCAAGTCTAAGGGCTAGACTATTTTCATGCTTTGCTTACATTCTACAATAAATACAAAGAAGAACAATATTGCTGTAATATTTTGTGAAGTTGTTGATTTATTGTAACATATCATCACTGTAACATTTAACAACATTATCTCATGTTTCCTTGATATCATGCAACCCCATGAAACCTTAACTAACTTCTATTCAACATCAAAAACAGATTATTTTACTATTTCATCGCTTTTTTTTTTTTTTTTAGAATTTTGTTAATTTCAAAGTTTGATTTAGAAATATTTTTAATAAATCAAGCAAAGATGAAACTGCTGAGTCAGTTCAGCATGAGCTAACTCATATTTGAATTAAACAAGTTCAGATGCTGCAAATGAAAAATAAAGATGATTAAAATTCAATATGAAAACAACATCACCTCTTCAAATTAAATAGCAAAAAGTGATTTAAAAAAACTAAAACTTCATAGTCAGTTTTCCAGAAAAAAACTAAAAAGATTCCTCATTTCTCAAAAAACATTCATGATTAGGTTGTCCATCAAAGGGAAGCTTTCCAACATTCCTAGTTATTGATAATACTCCCAACAAATCTCAGCGGCTCTAAATCTTAGAAGATCAGTTTACGCTTTAGAGCTATGTTGTGTTTAAAATTAGCCAAAGGCAAAATCCAACTCTGTCCTACCTGCTGTTGTAGTCGTGGGCAATCTAGTCATGGTACTTGGCATGGATGTGGTACTGGAAGTTAGTTGCTGGGATTTGACTGAAAAGAAACCAAATACAGGTTAGAAAGAACCAAAACAGTCTCAGCCAGTCTCTTTTTCTACCTTACTTGTGTAAACATTTTGCTTACCTGTGATCATACACAGAGAAAGAAATAGAACCGAGCCAAGAAGCATGTTGTATTTGATAAATATGCTGCTGTTTCATCCGTGTGTGATGCCCAACACTGAATTATAGCTGTACTCCAAATCCTGGTGTGGCAGGAGGAAGTTTGAGACAGGGAAACTATCAGAAGAGAAGTATTAAGTTCCCTTTATAAAAAAGTATTAAAACAATACAATGATTAACAATGCAAGTTTCCACAAAGGGAGCAAAACAGTAGCAGGTGATTTCCATGTGCAGTGACGAGACTTTTTAGAAAAACACAATATAGTTGCCAGTTTCTAACATTTAAAATCTGCCAATTAGTTATAACCTGCAGAAGGAACAGTTTTTATTTTTTCAACCATCTTTTATTGCACTTTTTTTTTTGTTTTTAAAAGCTGGCAGACAAGTGTATCAGACGCTGATCACATTTGGTCTCAAAGTCTCTGACAGAAGTCCCCTCAGGCTGAGATGGGAGCTCAGATTGTAGCTGGCAAGTAGCTGGTTAGAGCAATCACCTGAGGCAGCTGCTTACTGGCTGCCACGAGTAAACTGGATTTTAAACGCCTCTACACAAAAACAAAAAATTCCAATCCAGAATATTCAGAATGGATGTGCATTTGCAGGGCGACTGCCTTTGGGTCTGCACTTTCTCAAACATTCAGGAACTTTTAGAACAGTTTTTAAAAATATATTTTCTTAACATCTGTTATGTATATAACTGTGAAAAAAAGTTAATTTCCCATTTCACAGTATTTGCTTATTCAATATTTTATCATAGTAGCTTCATCTGATGTGTTCCTGTTTGGCTGTGACTCCATCCTGCAGAGAAATATCAGCTCTGCTGCTGCCATCAAGGCCCTTGTCTATAGATGTTCAAGCTCGGCCTGTTTTCTGTGCAGTCCTGTTTCTCTGATTGTAACTAACTTGTGCTCTGTGGAAGACGGCTTGGAGCTTGTCTGCATTCTGTGTGTTTCCTGGACGGAACCGCCTGTGGAGCTGGTTGACAGTTACCTTTAGTATCTTTTTTCTTTCTGCATGTCTGCTTCTTTCTCCTTGAACCCCAGTTGTGCTCAGCAGAGGGCCGCTCACACTGAGCTTGCTTCTGCTGGAAGTTTCTTCTTTTTAAAATGGAGTTTTCCTCTCTACTGTCTCTACAAGCATGCTAGATGTGAGGGATTGACTTCGAGTCAATGCAATCAGCTGGTTTTCCTAAGAAAACTTGGAACCAATCTGATCGTATGATCTGAAAAGTGCATCGAGATTACATGTTTTGTAAATTGGTGAAATATAAATAAACTGAAATAAATTGTAAACCAAACTTTTGTAATTTTAAAAGATCTTATACGCTGAAAAAAACTGTTTTTAAATTATCTCGTCACAAAACATTTATCTCCCTCTATGTTAAAAATCCCAAATTACCTGTAATTAAGGTTTTTACTGGAACCTTTCTTGGATATTAAAAACTACACCTTACTGCAAAAACCAGTTTTAAGAAACTAGCTAAGCAGGACCTGTCTTGCAACATGAAGCAGAATAAAAGATCTAAAAAATCAATTATTGACATCTAGTCTGGAAGGGTTACAAAGCCATTTCTAAAGTCCTAATTTGTCCGTTTATGACAATGACATCAACAGCTCATCCCAAAAGAACTCAGACCAACATCTTGTTGTTATTGATGGAATCATCATTCCTGTTCTTTAGCAGAAATCCTAAAAGTCTGTCAATAACATTAACTTCAAACCCTTTTGGTTTATGCAGCAGGAATATATTCAACCAGACTATGAAGATCTTCTATTTAAGGTATCATGTTGTTGAAAGATGTAAATATTGCACTGAAGTAGTTAGGGAAATATCTCTCTTACTCTTAAAAAAAAAAAAAGAAGAATCATGCAGAACTAGCTAAATATAATAAAAGGTGTAATTATCAGAGGAACTGCCCTAGATGTTAGTTACTGTCATATTGTAATGTTCCTACAATAAAGGAAGTGGTTTGTCTTGCATCAGTAAAGTGTTGCTAAAACAAACTTACAGATAGTGTCCAAAGACAGATATAGGTTTCATAACACACAGTGGCAAAAGACCCAAATAAGTTCATATTAAGCTAACACCAACAGTGTTAAAAGTTAGTTTAATGTATGTTAACTCAATGACTTTTAGGTTTGTTACATTGTACTGAGCACTTGTTTGCTTTTCTTCTAAGATTCGACTCATTTCAAATCTTCTTAAGTAGGTTAAACTAAAGAGAACAGGTCATTAGAAGCTGCACCACTTTACAATGTTTGCTCATGCATTGCACGTAGGTTTTTATGGTTTTGTTCAGAACATGAGAAAAACAACCCTCAAACCACAAAAAAAATGGTTCTCTGTGAACTGTTGTACATGATTTCCAACTTAAAGACTTCAACATGAAACTACTGGAGCTATGTTTATATGTGCATTTCCTTTCTAGTATTAAGGGTGTTTAAGTCTTTGAAATAATTTGTTGCAGAGTATTAGACATGATCTCTATTATCCTTTGACCGTCCTAATCAGAACCTAAAATAGCTCAGTTACTTTTATGTTTTTGTGACTCAGTTTGAATCTTCAAAGCACTTCTTTGCTTGAAACAGTCTGCAGTTCGTTGACAGGGTATGCATGAAACCTAGATTTCTTTTTTTTTTTAAAACAACAGCCACAAAGTTGAATGTATTGTGGGGGCGGGTGTGTGGTGGAGAACCAAAAGGTAGCGCATAACGGAAAGGAATGGTAAAAGTAAAGTGTGAATATCTATTTATCTCCCTGTACACAGAAACCACTAAGCCACTATAAACCAGGGCTCTAGTTCTCTAGTTGCTTTAATAGATATAAAACTGAGTGTTATTTAAGGTCTCAGGTAATATCAGGTAATTTCAGGTATTCTGGAAAGGGGAGATCAATATCAGACCTTTACGGGGCAAACCATACATGCAAAAGACGATGCTGTGAAGCAGCTTTTCTTTAGCAGGAAGCCTATCAAAGATAATAATCTGAACTTCTTGCAAATAATAATATGAAAAAAAATGCATATTTTACATTTAGACAAGAGATACCATGGACCTTTGTGCAATTCCTTTAGCTTGGCTAAAACGCCATGGTTTTGCAATTGTTCCATACTCTTTACGGCTCTATGAGCACAAAAGTATGAACAAAGTTTGGAAGATTGTTATACTAAGCAGAAACTGCCCTGAACTTCTCCAAACATGTCTTCTCCTTTCCTGATTTTTCCTTTCTCTTTTTCATGCTGTTTTAGCTAATCTCTGACAAACCTCATAGGTCTGCATAGAACAGCTAAAGTATACTGAGATTGAATCCAATGCACATGGACTGAAGTAAATGCAAAGGTTTTCTTTATTTTATTCCTTTTATGTTTTCAAAAACTTACAGAAACCCATGTGTAATTTGACTTCCAATTGTGGATCACATTCTGTTTGTATATCACATAAAATTCCATTGAAATCGGTAAAGCTTTATTTAGGCACGTTTTTGAAGCAGAAGTTGTTTTCTGTAAAACTGTTTCCATTACTTCTGTCGATTGCACTGTGAACCTTTTTATGCTTACACCCACAATTTCCTTTTTTTTTGCTGCAGCCGTGGCCTTTCCTACTACCTCACTGTAACTTTCTATTGACCTTGGAGCAAATGAAACATCACTTTAACATCCTTTAAATAAACATCTTAAGTTATAAACAAATACCTTAAATGAGGATTTTCAAATTTTGCTTCTAAAAATAAGGTCAAAAGAGTAAAATTAAAGTTGTTTCCATCCCGTGTTGGAAAACAGCTGAACAGGACACCACAGGTGAGAGTGGAACCATGCTGTTTAGAAGAGAAAGACAAATGGTAATCCTGTAAAATGAGCTGCTCTCAGGAGTGTGCACATCCGATTGTGTTTCCACAATCGTGTATTTTAACAAAGAGCCATTATTCTTCATTATTCCTCTATTATTCATTACTCATTCATTATTCTAGCTGTTCCTCAGGCTGTAGGGTTGCCTGTTGGTTATCACTGCATAAACCCCTGCAAGCTTCCTGCCAGTAAAACATTGAGGTCAGGCTTTTCTCGCTCACTCCATTTGAGATCTTTATCTTTTTCCACACACAATAAAAAGTAATAAAAATGACTACTTCTGTGGAATTTTACATATCATTAATGTCCATGGGGAAGCAATGTCCCACCACATGAGAAAGCAGGCACTATGTAACTTCTCCTCAGGGTAGGCAGAGTTTAAAGAGGGGTAGTGAGGAAGTATGCTCCCCCGTAATAAGCAGTCATTATCTCACTATTTGCACTATTCTGCATAGAAATAGAATACTCTATTAGCTATGAAGTGTAACAATAAAGTCCAGCACTACAGAGATCTAAATTCTTATTAGTAAACAGATTGTGAAATGGGAGATAATATCATAATTTCAGAGTTTTAAAAAGATTTGATGCAATAAAGACTGTGGGTGTTGGGTTTATTTAAAAGAAAGCTTTCAGCTCAGCCCACATCCTAAGATAAAATCTGTCACCTTTGTAACTATTTTGCAGGTTTCAGGGTCATGGCCCTTCTTAGAATTAGACTTAGACAGATTTACTTTGTCATTTTGTATACACGAGTGTAAACAAAAAGAAATTTCATTTAGAACAGCTCTAGGCAATTTCATATTTTAAAGTGCAGCCTTGAAAACAGTAATAAATACATAAAAAATATTGATATAAACATATGACTGTATATTTACAGTTCTAACATATATTTTTTTTAATGAAAATAAAAGAAACAATTTTACATAACATTCAGCAGTCTGATGGCAGTGGGGAAGAAACTGTTATGGAAGCTGCTGGACCTGCATCCAATGCTTCGAAGTCTCTTCCCAGAAGGCAGCAGGGAGAACAGTCCATGGTGGGGGTGTGAGGGGTCATTTGGGGGACACGCAGCGCTGGGATGAAATGTCTTTTATGGAGGGCAGAGGAGCCCCGATGAGCTTCTCTCCTGTTCTCAGCACCATCCTCACTTTCTTCCAGTCTGAGATGCTGCAGCCTCCACACCACACAGTGAGACAGCTGGTCAGAACGCTCTCCATGGTGCTTCTGTAGAAGG